AGGTAGAAAAGGAAATCTTGTGTTTTGAGGAGAATTTTACACAGAAATCTACGGAAGAACTAACAAATAGAATAGAAGAAAAATAATAATAATATTTATTTAAAAATATATATATTTATTTTAGGGCAATTGTCTGAGACAAAGGTAAATTACACAGAAGGAAAACACTTTCAAAATATTTTATTAGTCCTGAATTAAGAGACTATTTCAGTAAAAGATGAATCGAATATTTTTAACAAATTTCATACACTAAATAAATAAATTTAAAAAAAAAAAAACTTTGAAAATCTTTGTAAAAGTAGTGAAAGCGTGTAATCATAAAAAAAGATGGATATGATGTTCCTAAACTAAGTTATAACAATTAAAAAAAAGTCATGAAGACCAGATGAATAACTCAGAAGACCTTAATTTTCTTTGAAGAATATGATCGGATGGATCCGCTTAAAATGTTCCAAATATTTTGAAAGAACCTATGTGCCTTTTTCTTACAATTATAGGAATAAACAATTCTGATGATTTGTTTACTTTTTTCTTTTTTTTTTCTTTCTTTTTTTTTTTTACATTTTACTGATTAATCAGATAAAAAAAGGCATATAAAAATTTTCTGCAACAATTTCCCCTCACACCAAAGGCTGCATACTCCGAATAGCGACACAAGAGGTAAAAAAAGAGAAGCAAAGCAAGTTGGTTACAGTATGAAGATTTTGTTTGTTCTCCGTATATGGCATCCGCTTGGAATATCACAGTATTTATACAAGCAGGTGTGAATATCTATGAAATGTTGGATAATTTGCATCACTGAATCAAGCTTTCAGGTGATGAAAATGTCTTTTGTTAATTTTTCAACCGTTCTACCTTAATATTGGCTTACTTAAAAGCTGGACAAAACAGATAGAACCTACAGTGTTCTAGGAATTGAAAATTATGTATGTAATTTGTCCCTGTCAGTTGTACTTGAATCGTGAACTAAATACAATTTATCTCTGTCCTTTAAATTGAGAACGTAATGCAAATGTGTATAATCCGGCCACAGCTTTTAGAATAATGTATGTCCTATTACTGCATGTATTGTGTCAGCTGATTTCAATTTAGACATATATTACACTACTATCTACTTTTTTAAATTACATTTTAATATCTTTGTTAATCATAGCATATGCATATAAGTTGAAAAGTTGCTAATCATAATTATACATGTGCAGAGTTTTTAGCTTAACTATTTTAGAATTATTTTTCATCCCTTATTTCTGAAACTTTGATAGACCACAGGCCAATCAATTCACAAATTTGTCCTCTTTATCACGAGCTCCAAAAACATTAGTACATGTAAATCTTGTAAAAGATTTAAAATGCAGGCATAAAAGTCAGTTTCTTAATTGCTGCACATATCGAAATAATATTCCTAGCGACTCGTTCTTACAAAATAAAATTTTGGTAAGATTTCCATGTATACCAACAGAGACAATTTATCATAAATTTGAAAAGTATGTAGATTGCTAATCTAACTCACTACTTATAAGAATATCAATTCAAGACCTGGATAAAAGATGAATGTATTCAATACATTATCCCTATTAAAATATTTTTTCGGTAAATTATCAGTGATTTAACCTTACTTAAACATGGTTAAATGGATAGATTTTCGTCTGAAACATCACAATAAAAAAAAAATACAATGTCTTGTTTGTACTAATTAAATAAGTATGAGAGCCCATTGAGTTCATTTTCGTACATAAAAAGAAAATATATTTTTCGCCTCATAACACGAAAATTTTGCGAATAAACACAGAACTGTCTCGTAATAAAGCTGAATTTTCGCGTTATAACGTGTAACTTTCGCGAATAAACGAAAATTTTCGCGTTATACCAGGCCCGTAGGAAGCCATTTCAGTTGAGGGGAGGGGAGGGGGGCAAATTATAATTTCAGTTGGGGGGCACTACCAAAAATTCAAAATATCCTTGACAAGCTCCGTTGCCCCCCCCCCCCCTTTTCCTACGACCATGAAAACTCGTACCTTTCGCGTCATATATATTATATAATATATATATATATATATATATATATATATATATATATATATATATATATATATATATATATATATATATATATATATATACACACACACACAAACACACACACCCTCCCTCACACACACACACACACACACACACCCTCACACACACACATACACACACACACACATATATATATACAGGGTTTTCCATGAGCTGTTTTACTGTGTCGGCCCCGACACAGTAAAATTTTCCTCGACACAGTAACGATTCAAATTTTTATGCGTGCGACACAGGTAAAAAATTGCGACACAGTAAGATCTGTCATAATCAGAAAATCAGAACATAATTATAATCTCTCTAACTGAAACATTAATCAAACAAATCTACCGTCTTTCAATTTTTAAGGCAGAGCACTTAATTATCTCTTAATTAGGGCACATTGTCTTGCTTCACCCTTGAATAATCAACTATCTCCTAGACCCTCACTGGACTTTACGCTTGAAGGAAAAAAGACAAATAACTTGTTTTTACACTTCCACGTAACCGTATAAATTGCATTTTTAAACATTATTTAAAAATCATTTTTTTATAGATATATATCTTTAAACTTGAGAACCAAGTCTCTAAAATTATGTTGGCACTGTGAGTCAAACATCCTCACGGTACCGTTATCATTCCATTGATGTAAATGTATTATTGAAGAATTTAAAGGCATTCCCTAAAAGTATTTTGCTTTTCTCAAGTTTCTTTTTTTTAATTCGTAAATTCGATCAACTGACAAAAATCACGGGAAATTTACTTTTAAAGTGGGGAAGTAGATCGATTTAATTACCAGAATTTTCTCTGCTCTTCAGAGTATGTGTAAAATATGAAGTTAAATATACATTGTATGTACAAAAATATCAAGGTTTAATATTAAACAACTTGTAGACAGTGATACAAGTATATTTAATGATTATTTTTTATATCGGACATATTTTTTAAAGTTGCGTGTTTCGGGGTGGGGAGTGGGTGGGGATGGGTTGACAGTTGGTTTGTCTTATAGTACATTGTATGTACATTATTTTATGGAAAATTTCTAATTGTTTTAAATATCCATTCCATTAATTTATTTTTTAATGATATGTACCGGTATTTGTACGATCATACCATTTGTATAACGAATAGTGATTCAAAACAGTTCTGTGTTTGTGTGTTTGCTTTTGTAATTATAATGAATAGTGGTTCGGTTGCGAATTTGATAGCGAAAATACCGCGAATATTAGTGGTTCACGTAAAGTCTGCAACACAGTCAAATTTCAAATGATGGAGAAACCTTATATATATAAATGTTTAAAATTGTCTTTCCATTTTATAGAATGCACAATGACTGTGAAATATCCAGAGTAGCAAAGGAGGACTACTTTATTGAATTATTTAACCCGAAAGTTAACAGAAAATAATTGCTTCAGAGTTAATTTTCTATTTAATTTTCTATTTGATTTTAAATTATAAGTGATTGTAATTGTGCGAATTATGATGCTACCTTTTAACGTTATTATGACGTCACAAAGGACAATAATTGACGTCGTGCTTATGAACGTTACTAAGCAATTTCATATTCATTTTGTAACTGTCTGAAGAGCCATTAAAAGGCATAAATCGAGTCTTGTGATTCTTTATTTTTTCATTAGATATATTAATATTTTATTTTACCAAAAATTGGATTTTTCTTAAAGTATATATATATATAAATTTTTAGCTTGATATGTTGATAATTTGCTAAATTATTCTAAATTAAAAAAGACATTATATGATCACCCGGCGCTGTCGCCGTTTAGTTTCATGACGGCAGACTTGCTAAAATCACGTGACTGCCACATCACGTGACAAGTCTAAATAAGAAATCTAATCGTCCTCAACATGTGATTTTCAATAACATTGCATTTGTCCGGTAATAGTCAAGTTCTAAAATATTCGCCGATATTTCCATTTGGCACCTTAACTGTATTGCGAATGAAAGATTTGTTAAATGACAATAGAAGCTACATTTTCAGGTATACGTTTTTCTAAAGATAATGTGCATGGCAACGGAATGGCTTATCAATTTAAAACATTTTGTCTAAGTAAAACAATCACCTAATCATTTCTCGAAGTATTAATATAGACATTTACTGAAGATGTTATAGATGTTACCAAAATTAAAGATTTGTCAAATTTCCATAAAAGTCAGATTTTCAGGTATGAAAAAATACGTTTTTGAAGATGGTTTCCATGGCAACGGAATGCCTGACTAATTAAAATATATTTTCTTCGTAAAACAGTCGTTTTGACATATCCCAAAGTATAAATAAAGACGTTTACTGAAGACATTATAGTTGGTATCAAAAATAAAGATTGGTTAAATGACAATAGATTCCAGATTTTTAGGTCTGAAGGTATGTGTTTTTGACGAGGATTTCCATGGCAACGAAATGCCTCAACACATTAAAATATATTTTTAAGCAACACACGTGCCTTATCACTCCCCATAGTAAATATAAACATTTTCTGAATGGGGGCCTAAAATGGCCCAAACCATATATAGTTCTTTATGGAGAATTTACAAACTGTTTTATCAGACGTTACTATGACATCAACCAGTGATGGTTCACAACCTTTTTTGAAACATGTGGGTGATTTAATAATGTTACAGAGATCAAATATGTCACATCTTTCTGTTATACACTTAGATTTCTCTATATTGATCAAGTCAAAATTTAAATATCCAATAACCATATTTTTTTCATAAAAAGATGTACTTTTTTCAAGCAAATTGCACATAGATTTCATAAAAGATGACTCAACATAAGATGGATGTCTGTATACACACAAAATAATCAATTTATATTTACCTAAAGTCATACCTTATGTGGTGACTCAGGTGAGCGTTATAACCCATGGGCTTCTTGTTTTTTATACAAATATTGTATTGTAACTTCAGTAGATTATGTTCAAGTTCATAAGCTGTGGAATTATTTATTTGCTCAAATGCTTCCAATCTCAAATAGAGTTTCATTTCTTCTGCCGCGCGCTTACTGGTTTAAAAGATTCCACAAGATCATAGGTATCAATTGGCCAACGACAAAATCTTTGGTTTAATGGATGAAACCTCGGATTATTTTCACATGCGTCAGTGCAGCATTCCCCTTCCTTATTTACTCCATCGTCTACAGACAAGAAAATACATGTACTCAGCAAGTCTGAATTTCTTCTTCATTAAATTGAAATATTTAAAAAAAGACAGAAAATGTCATTGAGTAAACATCACTAACAAAACTTTACTTAGTTCATTATTTTTTTTTTTACATAACTATAGTAAATACTTTAATACTTTGATTTACAGTGAAACTCTACTCTATAATATTTTTGAAAGGTACAGCCCTAATATTTGTTAATTTTCCTACCATTGATGTCCGTTTGTTAAATAAAATGTGAATTTTCATGTAATATTTTCTTTCAATTTCATTGGCATGTGCGAATCGCATAAAAAAAAAAAAAAAAAAAAAAAAAAAATTGTGATTAATATTGTAAAGCCTTCATTTACTTACTTCATTTACTTAAATTATAGTTCTAATTTTATTTACTACCATGGTATTTTTTGCTATAAATTATTTTCAAACTAAAAAAAAATATTTGTTTTTTTTTTTTTAAAACTGTGACATTATATTTTAGTACATTCTTTAAGAGAAAGGGTATTCTATTAGATTTTAAAACCAGTCAGCATCAACAACAAATTGCGTTCACAAATTTGATGAAATAAAACATACCTATTTAAGTATTTTAGAAAAGAAATTTATGCATGTACTTTGAATTCATATGGCAAAATCTTTAATACTTCTACTTTAGACAAAATATATTTGTCAGGGCTTAAGACTGAATTACCTACAAAACGTTACGATAACAACTTTTCTTTTTCTATACTGATGTTTGTTTTGATACCAAACACTATTTTGTACTTATATGCCTCAAATATTATCATAGAAAGAAAAAAAAACAGCTTACCCTGGCAACTAGAATCACTTTGGCAATAGATTCTCCACTGAAAAAAAATGTAATACTGCTCAAACGATTAATTAAAATTAAATAGTTTTAAAAACCCCTTATGACATGTACTTAGATTCACTTTTCACAACTGTTATATTTGCCTTGGATAAACACATCGAAATTCGTTTTATTAAGAGAACAAAATTATATACCTCTTGTGGAATTTCATTGCACCGTTCTTTTTCAAAATTCCAGCACGTTTCATCAGGTCCATCTGTCAGTTCTGCTTTCTCGGGCATTGGCTTTACACCTGTATCATCAATCATCGTTGTCGAATCTACTACTTCGGGCATTGTTGTAAAGTCCTTGTCAACAACATCGTTTCTTTCTTCAGTTTTCTTGACGCTTAATATTTGGTCAGAATTTAAGTGGTTTTCATCAGATTCTTCAGATCCTTTGGATTCGCTTGAGTCTAACTTCAAAGAAAATTTAACAGTGAGGAGCCGGCGGAGAGAGAGAGAGAGAGAGAGAGAGAGAGAGAGAGAGAGAGATTATGTATGTACAGTGTACCTGTCGACTGAGGTTATTGTCTGTCGCTTTGCTTAAGCACCGTCTAAAATAGAGAAAAATGTCAGACGGGAGGCGTTGTACAGAAGCCCATTTAGAACCTATCAAAAGTGTTTCTGAATTCGATATTACAAATTGTTTAATATGAAAAATTGAATTGAATACAGTTTTTGAATTCTTTTATCGAATTTAATTTGTTATAAATAAAAGATTTGTAGAAGTCGTTTCAACAGATAATACTCGTTATTACGAATTTGAAATGCAATATATGCAATTAAATTTAAGTCAAAGTCCACAATTCGTTTAATGAAATATATTATGTTTGTTATCACATATTGGAAAAAAATATATTAAATGAAAAAGGAGAATATCACGAATCGTGATCGATCTCAAACAAATCCACAAATAATACAATTCTGTGAGCAGGGCAAAAAACAGGAGCCCCTGAAATTCTATAGGTAGAATCACGTGCTTAGGAGGAGAAAGCAACCACTGTTGACGGGTCACACTTGCCGTGAGCCATAAGTATTGATAATTTTAGTTACGTCATATTTCGTTTTGACGGAATATTCTGCTGACAAATTTAGTATAAAAACAAAGGCTTAACAATTGGTATGAAAAACTTCAGCAAAAATAGGACCCAATGATAGGTTATATTTTCTAAAAAGGTCATTTAAACGATAATAGTTGTTACGAAAAGCTGACTTTGAACGAGGTTGTTGAAATCCCTCTAATATTAACTGTCAGTAGCCTGTCTCGATTTAAGAATTGATCGTACTCAGAGGAAGAGCTTGAGTATCGAACAAGTTAGGAAATTAAACCTAATATTCAGTTGACAGCAGAATTTTACCACATGAATAAGGAAAGTTGACGATGGAAAAGCTAAAGTCAGTCATCTCGTTTGTCAGAAAATTTAGTTGTTAGTTGGCCCTTATGGTCAATAGTCAGTAAAATACAAAAAAAAAAAAAAAAAAAAAAAAAAGAAAAAAAAAAGAAAAAAATGTGGCAAAATTTATATTACGAAATTTATAAATCGCTAAGATCTAATTGAACAATCTGGAAAATAATGAATTATGAAATTCGTTCGTTGAAATTTAATTTGATAAAATAAGATTTAGAATCACTTAAAATTAATTCAATATATTTGTTTTAAAGGATTAAATTCGTTTAAACGAATTCAGAAATCTGTTATAAAAATTAAGTTAAACGAATTTTAAAATTTATTACATTATTTCTTTATAAAAAATCGAAAATTCGTTATATCGAAATCCGTCTTTTATAGTTCCTATATGAGCTTCTCTTGGAGGCCTTTAATTCATTTTAAAAATCAGAGAGAGAGAGAGAGAGAGAGAGAGAGAGAGAGAGAGAGAGAGAGAGAGAGAGAGAGATACCTTGTTTTGGCATTAATGTTCTCCGATTCTGGCATTGATCTGATTCCATTGGAAGCTGCCTTTAAAGAACAACATCAGTTTACATTTTTTTTAAAGATTATAATATTAATCCTTAATGAAATAATGTTTTTATATAAAGGTTCCTTTGTCATGTACTTCAACTAAGCAAAAATTGAAACGATAGATGAAATAATGATAATACCTACCAAAATAGCAAAAAGATGCATCAAAATCAAAAATGATTTGAAAATTATCATATTTCTTCTCCCCGAGAAAGCTCTAGGTCTGTAGAGAAAAATACATATTTACATACATCGCTTGTTTTTATACCTCCTCCAGTGCATGCACTGCAAATATGACAAATTACAGGGCAAATTACTTGAAAACCTCTCTGCATACTTGATATGAATTTAATTGTATTGGACTTTCAGTGGAAAATTGCTCACAAATCAACTGCGTGAAGCATCATAAATGAAGGTAGAATTGAATTAAGCCTTTATCCAAAAGTTATGTCACATGAGCTGCCTGAAATAATTCTTAAGGTGAAAGTCAACAGGATTTTGTTTCCAAATATCACAATTTGAATATTGTTTGAAAACATCAACATAATAAATAGCGTATTTATTTATTTTTGAATGCATAAAAGACCCCGAGATTATATTTCAATCTCCTATTCAAAATGATGACTTCTTTCAAGACATACTGCATGAAAATCATTTTCTATTTATCTTTATCTCTGAAAGAAATCTTGTGGACTTTCATTAAGGATTCCTGAAATCTACCACTAGCACTCCTTATATCACCTTTCAGGCCTGTATGTGACCTCTCAAATTGAGATGCCAGCTGGCTCCTTATCAAAAAAAGAATAAAAAAAAAAAATTGTCACAATGCAAACATTTAGTCGCCAGGCAAATTTTCCTTAAGCATTAATTCAAAAACTGATATTTGTCAATATATAGGGACAAGTCCGTTTTTAAACTTGACTTTTTTTCTGCTCTTAATAAAACAAAATTGAAAATGTTTATAGCTCAGTAATTTGATGATTACCAAATCAATGTAAAAGGGTCAACAATTTGGCGACTGATAGAAAAAAAAATAGCGGCCTTCATAATTTTTAGGCGCCATAGCGACTAAATTAGTCGCCAACTAGAGTCCTGCCTTTCATTGAAATCACAAGATTTTACCAAAATCAACAGCTAAAAAACTTACGACTTTTCAACTTTATACACAACCATTTCCCACGAAAAATTAAAGTTCAAGCTTTTTGATATCATTGACAGCTGCTTTTTCAAAAAAAAAAAAAAAAAAAAAAAAAAAAAAAAAAAAAAAAAAAAAATGGAAATCGTAAATTTTTACTTACCTTGTCATTGGTCATTTGCAAAATTATTTTGTTAAAAAACATTCTGATTGTACACACAAGTACTCTGAAGTTGACATTAAAAAGATGCTTGAGTTTCTGATTGATAATATCTATGTCGTTTTTGGAGATCAGGTCTTCCATCAGTCTATTGAAATTCCCATGGGTGCAAATTGCGCCCCTTTATTAGCAGACCTTTTTTGTATTCATATGAAGAAGAATTTGTCCAAAATCTTATACGTGAAAAGAAGAAAACGCTTGTTGTGGCCTTCAACTCGACATTTAGTTACATCGACGACGTATTGTCAATTAACAATGGTTATTTCCATTCTTACGTCGATATGATATATCCCTGTGAGCTTGAGATAAAAGATACCACAGAGTCTGGCACATCTGTTTCATATTTGGATATTTTACTTGAAAAAGACGTTAATGGTAATCTAACAAGCAAGCTTTATGATAAACGTGATGACTTTAACTTTTCAATCGTCAACTTCCCTTACTTATGCAGCAATATACCTTCATCACCTGCATACGGGGTATATATCTCTTAGTTGATTCGATACGCAAGAGCATGCTCTTCGTATGTACAATTTTTAAAACAAGGTAAATTATTGACAAACAAGTTGATGATACAAGAATATCAGCTGACTCGTTTAAAGTCATCATTTCGTATGATCGATACAATGCCCTTGTCAGCAAATACAATTTATCATTGAGTCAAATGCTGACTGACTTTTTTTCATACTAATTGTTAGGCCATTATTTGCACACTGAATTGTCGACGAATTTTTCCGTTATTACCCGATAATGACAAGGAGAACACAGCGGGTGTGACCGGTCGGCAGGGGATGCTCACTCCTCCATGGCACCTGATCTCATCTGTGATGTTTTGGAGGTCCGTGTTTGCTCTGCTCCTATTTTGTATTGTTTAATCTACTTTTGAGCTTGAATAATGTTCGTTATATCAATATATTTCATGTATAAGTTCTTTCAACTGGCCTGAAGTTAAAATCAATTTCCTTGCACTTTTGTTGTCAACTTGCATGACTCTGTTATTTGAGATAAAAAAAATTCCCTAAAAAAAGAAAGAGTAACGATCTTCTACCGTTTTTAAATCTGAATCTGCAGTCTTAAATAAACAATTTGCCATTAATGTCTTATTGTAAAGAGATATGTCAGAATCTGTGGTGTCCTTTATTTCGAGTTCAATAGAATTTATTTAATTTACCTAGGAATTAAAAGGAATAAACGCCGTCGCATTGAAGGCTACGGCTTCCAACTTCTCTTTTAATTAGAATTTTTTTAATAAATTCTGACTCATAAAAATATGCAAAACCAGGTCTGCTAATAACGTGGCACAATTATTACCCAAGGGAATTAACCTGAACTTCAAAAATTACATAGATATTGTCACTGAAAAACTCAATCACTTTTTGATATTAGCCTCGGAGTATTTGTGTGTAGAATAAGAATGTTTTTAAACTGAATAAGTTTGCAATTGCAAGGTATGCATATTAACCTGTTTGAATTTTAGTGAAGAAGCAGTTGTCATCGTTGTCAAGAGGACTGGTCTTTAATTTATCGTTGAGAATAGTAGTAAAAATTATGTGCTGAAAAGTAATACATTTTAATACAATTGAGTTTAGTTAAATTTTGTGATTTCAAGTATTCTTAAAGTTCTTTGAAGTTTTTAAGTATCCGTATTTGATTTACATCACTTCTCGACAATGCTGGTGTAAGTACTCTTGAAGTTTCTTCTTCATTGCTGTTATTGATAAGGTATGTCACTCGTGAAACTAGTTATATCAAGGATTTTTTGAGAAGTATATTTTAGATAAATACTCATATAGCATGACTCAAAATCGCAAAGAAAATTGGGGGTCAATGTGCATCTTACTGAGTAACGGTACAATGAACTTGATTTTTTGCACTGAAATTGTAACTCTTAGATAAATCAGTTAAACATTTGTAATACTTAACCAGATGTAATCATGGCATCAAATGGCATATAATCTTATTTTACATAAAATAGTTTAAATAATATTAATAATTGAACAAATCATGCAAATTTATGCGCATAAATTATTTTGTGACATTTTTGCACTAAAAAGTATCATAATTGGGATATTAAAAATCAAAATAGGCAATACATTATTTTCATGTATCAAGTTTCTCCTTTTTTTTTTTTTTTTTTTTTTTTTTTTTTTTTTTTTTTTTTTTTTTTTTCTTTTTACTCTAGTGCTGATCGGTTAGAAGAATTTGTGTACTTTAAAATAATTAAAGAAAAAGATGGGGCCGTGGTGTAAATTTTGAGATATTGGTCAAAATATGCAATTTTAAGGGAAACAACTGCAAATTTTAATTCATCATGTCAAATGTAGAAACACTTGAAAATATTTTTTTAACTGTTAGATATGTTAAGATGATTTTTCACCCTACAATTACGAAATTTATACATGTACTTGTCTGCCGCATACAATATAAGATGAAACAAGTGGGCCGTGAGTTTTGATTCTATTGGATTTTATGATGTATATAATAATGAAGGTTAAATTATTGTGGCAAGACAAACATGAGTTAAAGTATACCATTCTTTACATTTGTAGATATGTGAAATCAGCTAATTTTTATATACTTTTTTAACACTTAATTCATTCTCAGAATTAAGGAAAATAAAATAAGTATCCAGGATAACAGTAATCCCTGCTTTCATGTCATTTTATATTCATATATTTATATACGAATTCTGAATTTTCTTTTCTTCTTGTAAAGATATAATTTTTCGATGTTTTGATATAAAAATACCTAGACACAATTAGCAGTGAACATAATTAACGTTTAAAAAATCATTAAGCATCTTAAATAGTTGCTAACCGAATATTGATAATTTTATATCTTGAAAGATAGACAATTCGAGTTGAAAAATATCTAGTGTCATAAACAATTATAAGAGCTTATGCCTTGACAGAAATTTTATGAATAAAACATAATAAATAAATAAGTGAATGAAAAAAATATTAAATAAAACGGCATTTTTGGATCATCTGATAGACTGCATGGCTATCAGAAAAATAAATAATATATCTACAATATGTATATTCTATAAAATGATTTTATTTCTTTTATATCCATTAAAAAAACAAAAATAAATAAATAAATACAAATTTGGGCTTTTTTTTTTTTTTATAATTTACATTCTGATAATAACTGACAAAACGAAATTTGCACGGTTCTTGCCGCACGATCAAACAAGATCAAAACTGCAAACGATTGAACCCGATTCACGCACAATTTCTCACGTCAGCACATTTACTAGCTGCAGAACTGTAGCTCTCTGCTTGAGAAAATTCGAACAGATAAAGCAGAGGGCTATAGATCCAAGCGTTATAAAAACATTCGATTTACGCAGCCGCTTTTTTGTCGCTTGTTTCGTTTTTGTACTTTATGCTTTACCCCTATCCGATAATTATCCATATATTTTACTCCTATTCCTCATACTTTATTTTCCTTTCAACGGTTTCTAACTGCCGTATGTGGTTTTGGAGTATCAGTTTAAAAAATACATTCTGGCTTCTATGTTGTTTTCATCCTGAAATAACATGCCCGAGTTTTATATATCTATTTTCTTTTTCTACACACTCAATGTCTTCTTTATAGACAATGTACATGATTTTTGAACCTCCTGAATTTTTTATTTACACCTTTTCTGTAAGTTTATGTTCTTTGAAAGACTATTTTTCGCACAATCCCCAACATGGACGTTGGAATGGGAATTTTTTAACCGACATTCCAAAACCATAAAGGTCTGTTTGGGACCGTTGAAAGGTAAATAAAGTATCAAAAATAGGAGTAAAATATAAGGTTAATTCTTAAAGCGGGGAAAAGCATAAAAATACAAGAAATAAATTGTAATTGT